ATATACTCCAGGGCCTGGCATCTATTGCTTCACAAGGACATTGACAATCACTGGAGTTATTGAACAGTTGCATTGGAGCTCCATCTCTGGCTCTAGATGCTTAGACCCTCCTCTTGAGTCTTCCCTTCTCTTTACAACAACTCTATTCATCTTATTAAATCACATAACACATCACTCTCTGCTTCAAATGGTCAGTAACTTTGCTCACAACTACTAAAAAAAAACCAAACACAGAAAGTGCTCTCAAAGGTTCAGTTTTGCTAAAAGTACAGGGAATAACGAAGCAGTAAGAAATTGGTTGTCCTCAAGTATAGCAAGGGCTTTTATCATGTTAGGAGATGACTTCCTGATAGCCATGGGAGCATATGAACTCAGCATATGTTCTTTCCTCAATGAAAACATGTCAGCAAATCAGTATTTCTAGAGATTAAAATTGCATCTTTTTTTCATGGTATAAACACATGATAGACGCAAGAATTACATAAATGGCTGGGTGTGTCTAAAGAATCTTTGGCTAAAGAAAGTTTAAGTTAGCTTATTACCTTGAAATAATCAAGGAATATCAACAGAGTCATCAAGTATCTCATGTTTCACAACTGAAGAGAGTAGTACCAACACATTAGAATCTACGTATTTTTCATTAAACTCCTGCTTTGTAGGAGCAGCTGTATCTATGTTGTTGTCCTTTGAATAAATGAGGTAAAAGTATGTGAAGATTTGTGAAATCCTGTGTATTAGAATGATTGGATAAATAAAGGACTTTAAGTGACTAGAAACGTACTAAACTCCTGAACCTTGGAGCTTTTATTGGTACCTTTCTCAAGTACATATGAGTACTGAAGTACCAAACTTCTTCCTTTGTTTTAAAGCAAATACACATACTTCTGTGGTAAACTAGCAATGGAAAGCAATTCTCTTTTGGTCCAAATATTATTCCATGAATTCAACATTCCTACATACTCCTAGGAGCCAATTATACAGTTTATACTAGGCATAAATATTTCTGGAACATGACGTTGCCATTTTTCTCTGATTCAATTTTTTAAATCATGGAGATACAAGCATGAGAGTAAATTTTACACATCCTGGTTTTAAAGAAAGCAGGATATATTTCTATTCAATATATTATAAATGTGGGATTGGAGATTAACCCTACTTCTTGAAGCTGGCAGAGGAATGAGATATTAATTAGTTCATTTAACTAATCTGGAAAGAAACCTGATCCACATAGAAATCCTTAATTTATCACTAAAAAAGAAATTCAATGACTCACAAATAGTAATGTTAAAATGGAATTTGTCTAAAGCCCATACAACTTCCACTGATTATATCCTCAGCAAGAGTCAGGAAGACATTTTCTTTACAACATCAAAGAAAATTTGTGAGGACAGGACAATTTTTTGAAACCTTCATAATTTCTGATATCTATACTTTAGGCCATGTAATTTGAAGTTATGCTGAAATCACTTCCTGAATATTTTAGGGCTTCAGATAGGAAAGGCAAATGTAATCTATAGCATTTCATCAGGGAAAGAAAGCTTTGAATCCCATAATAAGTAGTAGAAGCTAAGTTGTCAAATATACAGAAAATAGGCATGCCCAGACTAGAATAATGAGTCTTATGATCTGTCCCACCAATAAAATAAAAATCTGAGGAACACAAATTCAGTGATCTATTTTATCAGCACCTCTCAACACTTTTCATATTGGAATACATATTTCTATATCATAGTCCTTTATCTAAATAGAAAAGCATTTTAATTTGAAGGAAGGCTCTTAGATATAATTATGTATTACATATCATCATTTATTTCTTGATTTAATTACACATCTTTAGCTATTTCTAAATTTCCTGGAGAAAGAGAGGGCTAAAGAAGTATTACCTATTGCATTAATGATTAACATCAACCCTGCACATTCAACATGTCCGCCATAAACTGTTTAAAGCAGAGGCTGCCAATAAAGCTCTCCACATTATGGAGACCAACTACCTCAGATACATTGCTGACTGAAGAGATTTGAGGATGGGCGATCCCATCTGAGATAAGAGGTCTTCTACTGAATGTTGTCACACCTATGTCAAGTAAAATTCTGTACTTCTGAACATTAACTAGTGTGATGGTTTGGCTACATCTAGAATTAACTACAACTCCAAAATAGAGCGGGCAAACCTGTGAGGGATTTTGCATAATTTGAAGGAAAAAAACTACTTCTAGCATGGATCTTTGAGGTAGAAAGACACACCTTTGATCCAGATCTCCTGAGGTGGGAAGACATGCCTCTATCCTGGAAGCCTATATAAGAACACGGAAGAAGAAAGTTTTGGCTCTTTGCCTGCTTGTTAGCAAATCTATTCCTTCACTATCGTTAGAAGCTCCTCCTTCAGGATTCTATCCTCATGGACTTACAACTACTGGATGCTTGGATCTTCCACTCGCAGATATCTATTGTTGGATTAGCTGGACCACAGCCTGTAAATCATTCTAATAAATCTTTCTCATTACGTACAGATTTACACTATAGGTTCTGTTATTATATATAACCTTGATAAAATAATTAATAATTTTAGATGTAACTCTGAAATAGTTTATTATTTAGTATAAAATACATACATGTTCATATAATAGAAGTATTAAATCTTAGTTCAAATATGGCCACTGAAAAATCATTTCGAACCAAGTAATTGAATATGTGTGCAAGGCTATCATACATGTACAATATTTTGTAGGTCAACAATTAAACTATCAAGTTAACTTATTTCAGTAAAATGCTTTTATTTTATAGAATGTGCTTTTAAACACCTGTGTAAATATATGTGTTTTAGATTTCTTATAGGATTCAACTAAAAATTGTTAATGTTGTAAGTAAATCTAAATACGTATTTGATAATAAAAGACGGTCAAATTTCAAAAAGAATTATAATTATATAAGCAAGATCTACAGAACTACGAAAGGACGTGAAAACTACTGTGTTAGTTACTTTTCTAATTGCTTGCATATCATATCCAATCTTTATTCTCTTTCCATTTTGGATGAGAGTTTATTATACCTGATTTGTGCAGACCCTATTCTCCTACCATGATTCCTTTCCACAACCTAATCTCATTGTCTCTGTTTTACAGCTTCCTTCCATCACTTTTCTCCTTCTCCTGGCCATGAGTTAATGTTGTTGACCAAGGATATCATAGGAAAAATACCAGAATTATTCCTGTTGTCTGTAACTATATTAAATGAGTATTTATTAGATTAGGATTATTCTACTTTTTAATTTTTTTCTTAAAACTACATTTTATTAGTTTAAGTGAGAAAAGTATCAATTATATTTAAATAGATTCTCAAAATATCATGTTTTGAAGAATGTTTAACTCTTTGTTTAAATGTCCATACATTAATTAGTTATTCATATTTTTAAAGACAAGTTTAGCTAACCAGCTTTGATTATTAGCTTAATGTAAAATTTTCATATTGAATGAATAACAAAATTTCTTCCTATAATTTTTTCCATATTTATCCATGTTTTACTAGCACACAAGAAGTATCAATAGGAAAATATCAAAACATCTGTTGAAGTTAGTAAAATTTGATGCCACGAAATTAATTCTCCCCAAAAATAAACATTTTGGAAAACAACCCTTTGAGAAATTTAAAATTTAAATTAAAATATACTAAAATTGTTCTTACTTAAAAAATCAAAATTTTCTTTAAACTGCATGCTTAAAAACTGGTAAAGGGGGTAACATTTGAAATGTAAATAAAGAAAATATCCATTAAAAATTATTATCATCAAATCTAACTCCATCCAGTTCCAATGATGTTGGCACTTGATGAAGATTCAGTCGCATTAGGTGAACCTAAATAAATAAGTTCTTAAGAGTTAATTGACATTAATGTTTCATATGGAATTAAGCCCTCTTTGACCTAAAATGGTGACGTTGACAAAAACAATATTTAAGGGATAAGTTGGCAGTGATTTTAAAATATGACATACATTCAGAAAATGACAACGAATACAATATCTTCAAAGTTGACAAACAATACAAATTACAGGTTAGATGTGCCATGGCTACTGGATGAAAAGTAATTTTTTTCCTATTTTACATAATGAAGGTCCAAGTCATATAGATTATAATCAAAAGAAGCCAGTAAATCAAAGACTACAATATCTTGCTATTCATTGGTAATGTCTCTAAAAGTAAAGTCATTCTCTCCTGTAGCTTATCACTAAGCAGCGTCTTATACAGATGGGAGGATCATGGAAACTACTAAATTCTTTCCCAAGGGAAGATACATCTCTGTGACTTCTCATTATTTACAAGATGATATAGTGTAACTCATTTTAGAGTGAAGTATGGTTAAAAGAGTTAAAGATTTTACTTTAGAAGCTTGAGGCAACAGCAATGAAAACTTTATGTTTTACGAATTCTGATGATGGTTCAAATTACTGAACACTTACAATGGTTACTGTGACTACTGTTATATACCAGAGCAGGGGCAGATTCTCATGCTTTCTTATATTTCTTAGAAAAAAACAATAAAAGGCCAGTATAATTTGCAAGAAAATATAGCTATCAAGCAATAAAGCAAAAAGTAAATTAAGCATGTTATACAAATAAATTTAAAAAATTCTCTGGACATTAACAAAGTAACAAAAGGTAGATTTGCAACATAAAACACACAGTATGTATATTTATTATGTATTATACTATATATAATACATGGAAATATATATTTAATATATATGTATGAATGATTTTGACCAGAAATGTTATATTTAATGAAATATTTTATTAAAACATACCACTCCTTTCTTTGGACCATGGATTTTTGTACTAAGAAAGACTTGACTTCTACTTAAAATAAAAATATAATTTGAGATATAGTTTCTTTTAGGTCTTGACCTTGTTCATGCTGGGGACTTTCTCCCATAGGACCTATTAGATGTGGATTCAATTGGCAGAGGAAAGGCTAAAATATACAGTTGTGTTGGGCACGACACTTACCTGCTTGATTCGTGGTTACATTTACAGACACATACTGCCGGGTGCCTGGACTCAAGTCGGAAACTCCATTCACTGCCTCAATTTCAAAGGTATAGTTTGTGTGAGCAAGTAGGTCCACCATCATGACAGAGGTATTTTTCAGGCCGATTTGCTGGGGGATGTACCTGACATGACCGCCACACTCCTCACACACACCTGCATGGGAGTTGCACTTCTTGCATGCAATATAATATGACACATCTTTCCGTCCACCAGTGTCAGCAGGCGGAATCCACTCCAGAAAGACACTAGTTTCATTAACATTTGAGATGGCATTCCGAGGAGCTGAGGGGGGTCCTGGTTTGCAAAGTAAAGTGAGAAAAACATATTTAAGATGATATTAATTAGTTGCCCTTTACCATACTAATCCCTGGTCTGAAGATAAACTAAATTTATAATTAATTTTTATTTCATAATTTATAATAATTTAAAAGATAAATTTTTAATGAAACAGTGGTGTTTATGGACCATATAAATAAATTTACTTTGGGAGAGTTATAAAACTTATTTAATAGAAACAGGTGTTTTCCTTAATATATATGTACATGGTCATGAAATAAACCTATGTATTGACAGAAACGTTAGATAAGCTTTTATATTTAAAAATATTTTACATTCAATTTTTTTGCACATTGGGTATATACTTTGTCTCTGGGAGCTAGAAGTGAATCTGAAATTTTTGTTAAACTTCTGGGTAGCTCTTGACACTAGAAAGTAATCACATGTATAGATATTGAACAGAATTGGAACCTCTTCTGAGAGAACAATGCTCTCTCAGATAAAGATGGATGTCAAGACCACTATTTCTAAACTTGGTGCTTTTGCTTACTGCAGTTCTATTTCAAAATTTTAACTAAAGGTTGAAGTTCTAGTGAAGATGGTGTAAGATGAATACAGAGTGCTCAGGTTTTCAGGATATATTTAATCTCCGGTCACCTACATTTCCAATAAGCAAGAAAGGTTTTCAAGTAAAATTGAAAGACACTTCCTAGACACACATTATCTTACAATAATACAATAGCAGCTATTCTACTTTCATGCAATTTTTATTGCACAGATAATTTTTATATAGATAATTTTGATTGATTAAGAGGTTTTTCAACAGGTGTTGATTAAGAGGTTTATTAACAACAATCTCAATAGCATTTTAATTGTTTTAAAACCTAATTATTCACATACTGAGGGGAAATAAAAAAAGAATTGGTGTAAAGTAAAAATTTAGGTATTTCAATTTTAAATTCCAGTCAGCTTTAAATGTTATGCAATTGTGTCTTCTCACATAAGTTTGCTCTTGTATTTGTCTTTGTCTTTGTCTTAGTATCAGAATGAGTATCAGAGATTTTGTCTCTGCCTGTCAAAGATCTAATCAATACCTCTCAAATGGCGATGAAATGGAATCCTGTGGTATTTTAATAGATGATGAGAATGAATTAAACTCCTTAAAAATAATATGGCTAAATTCGCCTAATAAGTATGTGTGACCCAAATATAAGGCTGAATGTTTATTTCAAGCCAATGTTAATCCATCATCTCTGAAAAACATACTTAAAACTAATTTTAAAAGAAAACTATTATTTATGAGATGTTTACAATTCCATTTAGAAGAACAATTCTATACCTAAGGACTTGGGGTGCTTTCCCCAACCACTCTCAAAGGATGCCTGCCTCTGGACCCTAGGGAGGCTCACATGCTTACAGACTTCTATAGCTCTACTTTAGCTGTCACTTTAACTCTGAGCCATTTCTAAAGGAACGAATAATTATTTTTATTTAGTACAAGTTGGATTATTTAATAGGAAAATGGAGATGCTTTAACTTTAGGTTAAAAGATATAATGGCCTTAACATTTGAGAAAGAAAAAAATACACCCGAACTGTACCAAATTCCAATGTATTGCTACCAGCTGAACTGACCTTCACCCTTTTCTTTGATTTAAATCAACAGAAGTCGGTCTGGCATTTTACTTATAACTCTGGTAACAATATATCCACAACTGTAGGTCACAGGTTACCAAGGGAACCATATCAAGTAATATTACTAAGTAGAAAAATAATTTAAGAATCTGAATAAGCCTACATGTAAAACATGGCACTGCCCTAACAAGAGATACAATGTATGGACCAATGTATAGCCATGAGAAGAATTTCTGGATTAAGTATATTCATGAGATTCTTTGTTTTCTTTCTGTTTGACTTTGTCTCATAGTTTTATGAAACTCTGTTCCCAGAGTTTATATATTAAAAGAAATCAAAATCATAAATACAAGTAAAAATTGCCAATGGCAGAACAAGTTCCAGATGTTCTTCTGAATATTAATTAGACAAGCCATAAGATGATCATAAGCAGTTGTGGTACTCTGAATCAAACTGAAAATAGACATACACACTCATAGTGGTATTTTGTCAGAAATGAGCATGAATTTACGACTCCTTTGAATACAGTAGTAGAATCACATAGAGCTGAAAGTTCAGAAAATCTGGTCTGTGGGATTTAGTTCCAAAAGACCGGTAAGCAGTTCTTACCACCAAATCATTAGCCTCCTCCTGAGTCCGCAAATAAATACATAAACATAAATGTACATTCATGTTTATACTAAAAAGATGTAAAATGTAGCTGGATCAGTTAAAGATGTCTTCTAACACAAATTTGTAATCATTTACGTGATTTGAATTCGGTGCCATATATTTACTATGCCACTATTTTCTGGTCCACCTATTTCTTGCTGTTTGATAATTCTTACAGTTTACATGTCAAGCATTATTGAATTCCACTATAACACAGGAGCTGTATCTTTCCATTGTAACTTACTGAGAAGGTACTTGGTCAACAAAATCAGTAGTTTTGAATTACAAAGAATGATATTTCTCAGTTATGCATGAAATTCAGCCACTGAATTTTGTTTAAAATCAACTTGTGATTACTTTATATAACATCATTTGTACTGTTTTTGACTACATATTAAAGATAATGTTTCTAGTCTTGTGAACATCATTGAGTGTATACAGTTAACTGGGAAGTAACAAGTAAGTCAAGGGATGCCATGAGGGAAATGCTGTGAAGAAAGTTGTATTCCCCTTTCCTCTTCTTTTTCTTTTTTTTTTTTCATTTACTACAGACACTATGTTAGCAAAACTTATCTGAAAGTACAGTCACTAAGTAAGCAAATGTGTAAATAGCCACACTAGGTTTCCAAAAATATGTTAAAATATGAAAAATATATAGCTTGGCTAGATGCATATCCATTCACTAGAAATACTGAAAGCAATGTTTATCATCTATCTCCACTGATTATTTGATGACAAGTAAAGCTTTGATAACGGTTAACAATTCTTCCTAAGAAAGACACATTGCAGATACATGAAAGTCTAAGTAGAAATCTGGGTTTATATACTGTTCTCATCTAATTTGCCACCTGATTGTCATGTTCTCCAGACTGTCTCCACATTTTGACAAATGACCTTCTAGATAGCCCTACAGCTTAGTTACATAAGCTGTGACTGGTTGAAGTTGCCATTTGTTGCGTAATTACTAGTTCAGAAGACTGTCTTACATAAAGTGTTTATGACAAATCTGATGTGAAAAGGCATAAAGATTTGACGAAGTCAAGAATACGAAATTAAATAGCAAAATAAAAGAATTAGTGTTTAATAGTGCCCTGGAGGTTGAAGGTGAAGTCAGCGGAAAGGATGCTCTAACAGTCAGCCATAAAAGGATGTTTATTATTCAATGCTTACTAAAGGAATTTGAAAATTAGGGAAAACAACTGTACTGTGAAGGGAAAAATATGCCTGTTTTAGAAGAAACTATTAAGAAAGCACAACAGGCTCCATCATGCTGTTTTCCAAACTGGTGAAAGGTAGCATCACCCAATTGTCACAGGGTTCCTTACTTGTGCATGCCATTGTGGGCGGATCAGATTCCCTCCTGAAATAATCCTTTTCACAGACACAAGAGGTGGAAGCTTCCTCATGGGTGTAACTGTGAGGTGGACATTTGCTGCAGGTCTGGCTGTGAGGAGAAGCTTTGAAGAACCCAGGTCTGCACACTGTCAAGAGAAATGAGAGACTAAGCTTTTCCTGGGAACAGAGGTAGTGCTGGTGTGAATAATGTATTATTTTGACTAGTATTTACACAAGTTAAAGAGAAGACAGTCTTTGCACCAATTTCTTGAATTTTCCTGATGACTCTTATCAGACCATTCAGACAATCATGATTTCAAATTAACATGTGTGGATTGCACATAGTTTAATGGCTTGTAGGAACTGGAGCATGTAAAACATTTTCATAAAAGAAACATAATTAGATGTGTCTACAACTACAATGGGAACAGTCCAATAAGTATAAAATGTACTCTTCACTAATGAAATTATATTTAAAAAATACAAGTATTATATATAATTTTAAACTGTATGGTATATGACAATTTCCAACCTCTTATTATCAAATTTGTAAATTAAGACATAAAGAGATAGCTCATAAATTATTTCTCATACAAATATGTAGGTCATAATTGGAGTCCCCAGCAGCCATTAAAATACTTGGTGGGCATGGTGCCTTGCCAGTAATCCTAGGGGTTTTGAGGGGCGAAAGGGCAATAAACTGGGCAAACTGAGTAGCTAAGACTAACTAAACAAAACATCAACCCTGGATCTGACAAGGAGCCTTTTTTTAAACATATAAGCCCTAAAGTAAACAAGAAAGATAGCCTACTTCAAACTGGGCCTCCTCATTGAAGACAATAAATATGAAAAGTCCACACATATGCAAACACACCCCCTCCACACACACACACACACACACATACACACACACACACACACTATACAAGTACACAAAATGATTAAAAATGTAATTAGCAAATATATACTAAAAGTTTCTCAAGTTCTATTATAATGCATAATTTGCTGCAATATTATCTATACTATATAGACGTTTCATGAATATCATACTGTGGCACTATATTGCATTTTAAGGTTGTGTTTTATGTCGCTTACTAACTCAGGATCTATGTATTATAATATAATAAATACCTACACACTACAAAAACAGTAATAATTCTGAAGATGGAAAGCCTGTCTTATTACTCAGTTTTGACTTCAGGGAAATTATTCCAGTATTTCATCATGACAAGTGTCAGTAAGCGCAAGGAATACACAGGTAAGTTGGTGAAACAGCCTGAAGATTGCTACTATCTCATACTGACTCAAATGGAAAGTGTGTGCTGTTAATTGTTTTAACTTTTCTAAAGCCTTGTAATGTAAGGATATTTTACTTCATGAATTCTATCGTAATGCATGTACTCTTTTATGTCTAATGGTTAATAGACACCAATGTTAATGTGCCAATTACTCTCACTTGGTCAAATTTAGGAAACTATACTGATAACTTTAAATAATTGACTTAATTTATATGAAGCTAATACATTTTATTTCTTATTTTCAATATCTATTGAACTCAATATGTACGGAATATATATTTCAATGTATAAAATATACTTGAAAATAGGAATATATATACTGAAGAGTATTAAAGTAGCAATGGTGGTTTTTCTGAAGCTCAAAAATGTACTTATATTTCAATAGGATAGACATAATGAGGCCGGAGTAATTTTCATCTGCTATGAATGACCTCAGGTTTTAGTAATTCACGCTGAGGCTTTCTGCCATCGGTCTGAATAATCAGGAATTGGCAAAATATGATGAGGTACTTTTATTTTAGCCCATCTAATTATGGTCATAGTGAAAGACTTAATGCTCTTACAAATTCATACCAAATGTGAAGGGATTTGAGAGATAAGAGTTTTTTTGATAGTATAAGTCATTTTAGTAGTTAAATGATTAGAAGATTTAAATATTATTTTACTCATAATGGGATTGCTGTAGCTGCCAATACCATACTTAGCTGTTATCCAATTTTTCTTCTTTTATCCTTTTAGTACAACAATTCTCACTTCAAACTATTCAACTTCAAAGTCATGAAGTACCATTCCACACATCTGCCATATGTAATTCATGTAGGAAAACTTCATTTAAAAATGTTCATTATATTTTGTGGTGTGTGTGTGTGTGTGTTTGTTTGTGTGTGTGTGTGTATGTGTACGCACAAATGCCATGGGTGTGTGACTGCACATCAGAAGAAAACCTTCAGGAGTCAGTTATCTTCATCCAGTCTACTGATGCCATCTTACTATCCCAACTCCTGATTCTAATGAATAACTTTTAACCAGAAACTTTATACAGTAATACATATGACAGTGCAGTTACCTCCCTACCATGGAAAGTGTGCATGTAGGAAAAACTAAATGCAAGTAACATATACCTTTATTGTTTATTAGTTTAGCAAAATTCTTTGAGGAAGAATAATGGCTTAACTATTGAACTTGACAGTGAAATATAAATATTACCAAAGTGCCTTTGCCTCTAGGAGAAATTATTGTGTCAATAGGGAGACATATGACTGTGACAGGAATAATGATATGGTAAGGTATCAGAAAGTATACCACCTAAAACTATGAATAAAGTCTCCTATCAGGGTCACTGAGATGACTCAATGGATTCAAGCGTCGTTTTTCCACCAAGTCTGATAATCTTAGGTTGATCCATGAAAGTTACATAATGGTAGGAGAAAATCAACTTCCATAGGTCATCCTCTGACTTACACACACACATACAAAAACACACACACGCACACACACATGCACGCACATGCGCACGCACACGCACATGTACAGGCACTCACATGCACTAATGTGCACACACACACACACAGGCACATGCACTGACACACACAAACATGCACACACACACACACACACACACACACACACACACACACATATATATATA